CTGAACTCCAAGTCCAGGAAGCCTTTGGGATTCAAACTTGTGCTCCATTTTCAGGAATAGCAACAGTGTAGCTGGAGTAGCTTTTGTTGCAAGACAGCAAAGAGCCAACAAACCACACAAACACAGGCAAGGTGTGCAGCACTGTGCCAGAAGACACAGTCCTTTCTGGTAATATCTTTTCCTCACAGCTATGATCTAATCTATAGCTATGAAGTTTTGCTTATTGCTGATACTTATCACCGTGCTCTCAAATGCTTTAATAGTTGCAAGTCCTCACCAAAAGGCAGTCTTATCTGCACAACCAAGAAACTGTTCATCAGTAACAACACTAAAATATTTTCCATTTTTAATAAGGATAAAGAATACACTAACATACTTGCCAATTCCAATTTCCCCAGTTACAGTTGGCATATTGCTGATGAGATCCCCAGTGCAGCAAGATCCTGCCCCATAGCCAACCAGGGACACATCCACGTCACCTCTGGATGAAGCCAGGGGCAAGCGGAGTGTAGCAGGGCTGGGGTACGATCCTGGCATGAATGGTCTCACACTGCTGAGGAACCAGATTACAGCCAGTTCTCAGCAGGCACCCAAGCTTGGTGAGTGACAGAACAACACGGAGTCACCACGTGCCAACTGGTGGTATTTGATGATGCCACTGAAGTAAGTTACTCTACTTATTTAATTCAGCTGTGCCAGCAAAAATGTTTTTTGTTGGTATATAGTGTATCTGCAAAGAGAATTTACTTGTAAAACTGCATTAACAAACACTCAGCAACACAAAATTTGCCCCAGCTAAGTGCTTGGGAGGTACAGCTACAGTTCTGCATAATCCATAACGAAAAAAAAAAAAGCGCTATGAATTATTTCCAAATAAGTATTTTTAAATATAGTAATTGCAGCGATGCTTATAAAAGTTACTAATATTTCAAAATATTGCTGCTTTGCATATTAAATAATTTCTACTGCACTTGTGCGAATTAGAAACAAAAATCTGGACAGTCTTTAAAGAAATTAGTTTTTAATACAGTACAGAAACTAAATTTTCTTTCTTTTGGCAAGCTGAATCAGTGTCATAATTTACTTTCCCTAACTTTGGTAAATAATTTTCTCCCTGAACTTCATAAACAATTAAAACCAGCCCAATATTTGGGAAGAATTTTAGGTTACAGACAATATACGCATTTTAAAATACAGAAACTTTAACTGAAGTAGTGACTCATCACCCGTTGCATCTCTCTAAATTTACTTCACAAATTCTATTACTTCAGGGTCTGTCTGTCATTTCTGAAGGGAAGAGAAATACTTGATTGAAAGATCCAACTAAATAAAAGCCACAGGGGGGCTGTTCAGCTCCTGTACAGGTGTTGCCCCCAGTAACGTGACTGGCAGTCAGACACACCTGCATGGGTGAGAGAACTGCATACAAAGAAAATATTTAAGTTGATTAGTAGTCAAAAGGTCCCTTAGATAACCTGATAGTACCGCTCCAACCTCTTCAGAGTTTCACCCTGTTTAGTTTCAAACACGTGTCTCAGTTGTAAATCATTCAACTGGCAGCATGCTGCATACAGGTCCATGAGTCACTGGGGGGAAAAGTTAGACTGATAAAATCTCACTTCTTTAATGTCTTCCAACATCATAATAAACCCTAAACTTTTTATAATTAGTTATGTTATATTCAGTAAATTATGTTTATGTAATTAAACACTTGTCGATACTGTGGGCAAAGGAAAGCCACTGGGAAAATGCAAACTGCCAGCTGAAGCCTTGCATTCCACAAACGCTGTGCTGCCCCAGGATTTGCCCTATGCAAAAGCCCAGCAGAAATTCAGGCAACGCATGAATTGCTTCCCTATCACATCTCTTGAACATTAAACTGTTACAGCAAGATCATTTCATTTTCAGTTGCTTGCCTCCTCCCCCATTTATCTCTCAGTACACCTCTCCGAGTTAATTGCTTTTTAAACATTGCTCACACTTAACATTCAGACTCAGCCGATACCATTTACTTACCAGTAAAACTTGATGTTCAGAGTAAAACACATAATTATTGTATAAAAAGTTGTACAAATATGATTAAATATGAGGTGGAAACTTGTCCCCTCCTGCAATTTATTTTACAAGAAACATGCCCTAATTAAGCTTCAAGCCCCCAGTTTTTGCCAGTATTTTCAATCTTTTTTTCTCTTGTTCAAACTACAGCTACATGAAAGGCACTTGTCAGCATTATCACAGCAAACTCTCAGTCTTTACGGAAAAGTTTTCTTGAAACTTCCTTCACTGAAAACATGCACAGTCTGCAATCTTTTGCTGAAAGCTTCTGTAACTCCACAGACTTCCAGGGGCTGAACAGTTAGTTCTTCATGTGACACGGCTGAACATCACTGCTGGTGTTTTTACCACCTGTGGATTAGCCCACCAGCGATCGCAGTGCACTGTGTGTATCAGACACACAGGTTGGTACCAGGGCTCAGCATGTGGGTAACAAAGAAGTGGCTTTAGCCCTAGTATTCAGTATTCTGCTCTATCAGCTGATGTATCACCTCCCTGAAGCTCCTTTATAAAAGAAGGAAAACAAATAAAACCTATGCTTAGACAAGGCAACACTATACCACTGTTCTCTGCTAGTACATAGACACAGTGCAAAACTTGTGCACACATTTCTTAATTAATGTGTGTGAAATCAGGACTTCCCCAGAAACTAACCAAATCCATGCTGTCAAAAGGTGTGAGGGAGAGGGGAAGGAAATACAGTATTTTTCACCTAAAAAGAACTGGTCAATATTTCCCCCAAACAGCTCTTACCAACCACCAGTGGTGCTTGCTGTGTACACTGTCTCATACCACAGGCTCAAGTAGGAGCAACATGTTTGCTTTTGTTCCGCTAATGGCCACAGGAAAAGACGACTGCAGGAATTATCATCAAACTGGAGCATCATTATCTTGAAACTGTTTACCCTCTCAGGAAATGTAAATTTTATACTTACCTCTGGCTAACAAGAAACTCAGGTTTTCATTGCAAAGTTTGGGGTTAATTATTCTTGAAAAATATAGATTTTTCAGGAAGAATTGATGCTGTAAGATGTTCTGGTTTTAGTTCAACATGATAATACTGACTTTCTTACCTCTTTAATTGATCTCCCATGTAGTGTTTTAGGTCACTGCTGACCTGGAAGCAGGTCAGGTACTAACTCTTCCTTCTCTACAATATTTGCATCTATTTCCACAATCTCTGTTCTAGGTCAGGACTTCCATGCCTTGGAAAGTGTAACTATGAAATGCCCATTCTTCTTTCTTGATTCAGACAGCAGAATCAAGAAATGTAGAAATTGAGGCAATACCAAAGTTCAAACATTTTGAGTGTGAGCCTACTTCTCACTTCAGAGCAACCAGCTCTAAGCTGAACGGATGCCATAGTAAATGGCAGATTCAGATACACAACTGGTAAGTGGTCCCAAACTTTAAGTAGCTGGCACATTATTTGAAGCTTTTGAAAATCTTGCTAGATACTGATGGATCCCTCCCACTTACCACAGCAGAGGTGCTGAGAAAATTTAATCATAAACTACCTACAAACTAATCTTTTTATAAAACTGGTAAAATGACAGATGCCTTCCCCTACATCATTTAATTGGAAGTGGTAAAAGAGATATGGGGAAAAAAAGGAAAGCATGTCTAGGAAACCATGACCAAAACCAGTTACACTGGCTCGACAATTTGCTTCTGCTCTTTGTCCCAAGCAAACCAGTCAGTGTCTCATAGAGTGGGCATATATCACCCCTTCCAAAATAAATAAGCAACCAAGCTATGCTAAAGCACTGCCAAAAAATATGCATACAGCATCAATGCAGCAGGGAAGAGAAACTTAGGCTTGCAACAGATGCTGCAACTAAAATAAAAAGAGCTGCAAAGCTACTCCTCATTTCACCCCAGAAGTAAATTAAGTGTAATTAATGATCAGTTTATTAAATAAACATCAGGCTTTTATGTCATAATTCTCCTAAAATCCTCAGCTGTTACATAACACTTAAGAGTGAATTTACACGGGAGACTTTGATTCTGAAACATCAATATTCATTTATCCATCAGGGGCCCAGTAGGATAGCTTACCACTCCTTTTAAAGTCAAACACAATGTGATTTTACTTACTCTTCAAGATTAGTTCAGTGCATTTGCACTTTTGTGTGTCATGCCTGTTTTAAAGACTCACTTTCAGAAGTCCCTGGAACGCACTGCATTTATCACAGCAACAAAGCCACAGAAAAGATCTTTTTGAGGTTTTTATGCTTGCCTTCCCCCCCCCTTTGTAAAAGTACCGTACTTTCTAGCATTCTTTTCACAGTCACTTTTCACAGATCAACACTGCAACAAAGGCAATGCATTTCATCACATTTACTGAATTCTTATTGTGACAAGAGACTATAGATTTGTCAGTGAAATGCTGAAGTTACTACTGTCTGTGAATAAAACCTGCTGTAATACAGCGCAATGCAAATAGTTAATCCTAGCTAGTTTGCAGAACACAGCTAAAACAAGCCCGTTCTCGGTCAGACACCTCAGCTTCAGCACTAGCAGAGAAAAAAACCCCTCCAAGTTAGTCTTGAAAACATCAAATCCACAGTGCAGCAAAGAATCACAGGTTTTATAGCTCTTTCCACTAACTCAGAGAACATGCACAAAGAACAAAATACCATCCTGTCAGCTTTGGGAGAGCCGTTATGCTCTGCTACCCATCAAGGCAGAGAATGATTAAGTCTTGATTCCTGGTGCCAAAGACTTCAGATAAAAAAGCGAACCATTCATTTCCAGCCATGATCGCACTTAGCAAAGCAAGTGAGGGAACCAATAGTAAAGTATGCTTGCCTACTGAAGTTTTTTGTGAATTGCTTGGAAGTAAGATTCCTTTCTACTATGATGTAAAAAAATCCATTCCATGGAGGCACCAACAGATATTTATTCATCTGAGGTTTGCATGGCTTCATGAAGAAGGAAGGAATACTTAATTTGGATGACAAATCATTCCACAAACATTATAAATCCTCCAAGCAGTAAATATTTCAGGTTTCAAGAGCCAATTAGAAAGGTCAGCATTTATCTTTTTGTCTGTTTCTAGCCTTAATAACTTTTGCTCTCTGCCTGTAGATTAATCATTGAAGTGAAAGATACAGGGGTTTATAAATAGGAAAAAAAACCCAGGCATAATAAGAGAGGGTTCAGACTGGACAAAAATTATCTCTACCTGTTCTGATTTTGATGACTATAGCCTACCTTAATCCAAAATCTAATTATTTGGATTAGATTAGGACAGTGGATCAGTGGATTTTCCTGAAATGCCCAGGCAAACCACACGCAATTTTGTATTTGGGGCACAGGGTTGCATTGCATTTCCAAATATCTTTTAATTCCACACAGGCATTTATAACTTTTTTTTCCCCATGGCAGGAAATATTTGCCCTCTGCAAAAGTTTAAAAAACAAAAATCAAAATTCCAGCCTCTAAACCTAGTAGAAGACTGGTCTTTGGCTCTCATTATTATTCATTTGCTGCGCCTGGAATCATTGCAATTATTACAAATCCAAGAAATTCTACTGTTTTTCAAGTGAGAAGTATTTTGCAGGGGGAGGTTTTTTTTGAGGTGTTATGTGCCTATGTTCCACAAAAAGGCACAGTAGCAAATAAAATATCAGCAGTACCCATCTCTTTCAGTGCATGAGATCATTCCACCCAAGACACAGAAGCAAGGATGCCTACAAATCAGACTCATGTATGCAAAGAAAGCACAACTGACAAGATGATGAAAAACATGCCTGCCATGTAAATATTTTCTGATTACTAAATGGGAACCTTGTTTCTACACCAACAATAAACAGACAACCAGACCCACCTATGACAGGTTTAACTCATCCAAACTGGTTCATGGATAAGTTTGTTCAAGCAGCCTTCATGAAGAAAAATCATTAAGAAATAAGTAAAACTCCTTAATTCCTATCAAAAATTTTCTTTTAAAACTGATGACTCCTTTCTGTATTTGTGACTCAGACTTCTCCATCTCAAACTCTTCACCTCTACTGATTCACAAACATTGCTTTGTTCCTTCTTGACATAATGATATCCAAAATGCATTATTATGAACAAAATAAAAACAATTCTCCAAAACTATCAACATATATATAAAACCCCATTGCTTAAAGACAGCATATAATTTGGACTGTTTGCTTCAGTACAGTTCTTACAGGCTGTGCTGAGCAGGCATGTACAACTCACAATTTACTTCCAAAACATCCCCTTAGGAAAAGATCCTCAGAAAGATTTGCTAAATGCTAGTTTGTACACTATGTGTTTTAATTAACGTACAGAATAGAAATTACCATTTAGATAAGATAATGCTCCCCAGCCACCCCACCTTTGCTTTCTGAAACTCTGCCAGGTTTCTCAGCCCCTTATCCACTCGTTATTTATTTCTAGCAATCCTCAGGCCCTGGTTAGCATTAATTCAGCTGCAGTTGGAGAGTTTCTCCAAGGCAGTCTCTTCAATTCCAAAGTGCATGAACTACTTAATTTGAGTGCTCTGTGATTCGAGGGCTTTAAATAGAGAAAATACTGTGGGAAATGAGAGAGCTCATACCTGCTTACGAGACTGCTCCAACAGCTGTATGGACATGGTGAGCTGCACACATATTTGCAGCCTCAACTGCCAGTACAGATACCCATGGGACAACACCTGAGATATGCTTAGTCTCCTGACAGAAATTTCACAGAGTTCATATGCCAAAGTTCAGGAACCCACAGCAGAAGGTGTCACTGGGGTTTGAAACATGAAAGCTAGCCCAGCTATTACACAGCAGCCACGCCTACAATGAGGAATCATACAGACTACCAGAGATAAAAAGATAGCCTTCTCTAGTCATGGAAGTGCTAATGGGATTTATAACCTCTCCTCACAGATAATGCATTATTCCCCGATTCCTTTCCCCACTCCTTGGTCATGATGTGCACCTTCTCATTCGTCCAAGTGCAGAAGCTCTTTCACCCCCTGTAACACCTGCCTATTTCTGGCCTTCTGTGAAGCAATCTCACTGTAAATGTCCATTACCAATAAAGAAAATTTCCTACCAAACTGAGAGACCATGCAATTTTTCATTCATTGGAAACTCTGTGTCCAAAATGTACAGGTAGATACTTAATAATTTTGGGGCACACTTCTGGACTATGATGGGAATCTCTCTCAAAGTGGATTTTAAAAAAGTATGCAGGAATCAAGGAGGGATCTTGTGGCTTCTGCCACACCTGACAGGTCCAGATTCGCTCTGAAGAAGTTGCTCAAACTCTTCATTTAAGCCAGGGGTGCCAGTGCTCACCCAAACCCATGAAAAGGGGTGCTTTGTGATTTGATAATGCTTTGAGAAGTACTTTGAGTGACAAGTGCTGTATGGGGCAACTGCTCAGTTATTATCATGATCCAAGTAATTTATCACTCCTGAAAAGACTCCATAGTTTTTGAGAACAACAAAAAAGATCTAAGGGGTCCTATTTAGACATGTTACATTTAGACACTGGATACCACAGGGCCAAGGTCTCTCATCTTGATTTTCTGCCATACCACACCTACAGAAAAGCACTGCCTGAATAAACTTAGGTACCAGATACTACACTTCTATTAGAGTGACAAGCTTATGAAGTCTTAAAAAATGCATATGGATTTCCTTGATAACAGAACTGACCCACAGTTTCAATTTCAGTGAATGAAATAATAAATAATGACACTAGCAACTGTAATGGACAGAGGCAAGGGGAACAACCCACTGACTAAACAACTAAGTAGCAGAATAATTTTTTGTTAAATGGATACCTCAGTCTCTGTCTGAGCAGAATAAAACTTTTAGAATGTGTGCTCAAGAGTTCATTTTTTTTATTATTCTTTTGAGCACCTCAGATAATACAATATACAAATTCATTCCATCTCATACAGAATTGGCAAGCAGAATGCAGAAGTGTGATAGAATTGAGTCTAGATTTTCCTACATATACAAATAACAAACCTAAATGAAATTCATGAAGCTGGTAGAACCAAAAAAACCCAAATCCAACTCCACCCACCAAAAAAGGTGAAGCACTTAAAAGCTAGGAAATGATACATTTCAGTAGATTTACAGTAGTCCTCCAAATCTCAGTTTCCACAGTTAATACACCAAATAAAGCAAGAGATGAATGGAAAAAAAACCAAACAGGTTAAGCAATTTTATAATGAGAGGATCTGTATCCTAAAGTACACATAACAGGAGAGCTGAATTAAAATTGCATGGAAAGATATAAGCTTATTTTTTCCAGTCTGTATTTGACTTGTAGGAGACAAATCACTACCAATAGCTAATTAATGTAACTGACAGTCAGCTTTGTCAGTAGAATGCATTATGGCAGAAGAGCAGCCTGGCGGGGTTCGGCAAGTGTAGAAGAAATATGACTTGTGAAACCACCACCACAAAGCAGCGCAGTGAAAGCTGCGATGAATCTTTGTGTTGGTATAACAAGAACAGCATGTCAAAATCTTCTCAAACTTCAGCATTTGTTCTAAATTCATGAGAATTAGCTAAATCTTGAGTTATTTAGGAAACTTAGTGCTTGATGTAAAACTGTTCCTTGTCAGCTCAGGGAATCCAAACAGAGAAAAAAAGTATCCAAATTCTCAGAAAGGCAACAGATGCAATGAGGCATTTCTAAAGACATCTTTAATATTAACCATAGTTTACTCAAATTAGTCCCTATCAGTTGGTTTCTCCTTTTACGGATCTCAAAGAGTGCTTTTCAAATTGCCTCTTTTCAAAACAGTAGCTGCTCACAGGAACGGTGGGATCAAACCCACAGACTGCTTCCTTTCACAGAGGCCACCTCGCCCTGCCCCTCGCAGGGGCCTCTTGGCATCAGGCAGATGAGGATCACCACCCTTCCCAAGGAGTGACTCCCCTAAGCGGCCAGACTCCTGGCCAAAGGTAACTGCTGCTTTCCAACCAGTGAGGACAACAGGAAACTCTTGTTTATTATTTTGCATGCAGCTTGCATACCTGAAGGTACTTATCATACAGGCTTTTTTTTGCTGCTGAAAGACAAAACGTCATGCCTGCAGGGAAGAACTTCTACAGGCTTCAGCTTGCTGTCTTCCTATGTAAAGTCAGCAGCCCATTTTTCTTCCTGATTTTTTGTTAATAAATACTGAAGAAACAACATAAATGAAGAATTCAGGAAAGCTGATGTTGAAAAAGTGACCTGTAATAAGACAATGCCTCAAGTCTGTTGAGTGCTGCACTGGAACACATCAGGCAGTCCTGCTGCCACACAGTGATTCATGCACTTCATGTGCCTTGATAAGAATATTCCAACCTTCAGTAAAATTATTTGTGTAGTGATATATGTACAATAATCTGAAACATGTGGAAAGAGTGGTGGAGGGGTTGCACATTTACAGACACAGTTGCCCCCGTGAGTTCAGAGTTCAAAATGAAGCCACAGCTAGACATTTTAAACTCAAGTTTTCTAAGGCAGCAGACAGGTAGCACGAACTGCTGAAGCTCCACTCCTCTCTCAGGACTCTTGGTCAGCCACTAAAACACTTGGGTGTGCCCCAAACTGCAGGTGATGGGCTGTTTAAAAAGCAGTTTTAAGATTCTTTGCATGCTGTCTTGGGTCTATAAAGCTGTCCCTCCTCCTGTCAGGCTTACAGAGTATACTCCCCTAGGATATTATCTGGAAAAGAATTTCAGCTTATAAAACAGGTTTACCAGCTGAATAAAACATCTAGAGGAACTGTAGACTTTAGGATCTCTTGTAACCATGAAGATCTGTTCTAAGATACATTTTTTCTCTTATTATTACTTTAAACTGATCTACAGTGGAAATGATTGTTATTCCAATCAAAGTACTGTGCACATCTCTATTTGTTCAGATACACTACAAAAAACCCGCACAAAAAACCCAACCCATAAACCAAACCAAACCTAAAAAAAAAAAAAAGACGCCTTTAGTTAGACTAGTAATTCACTAGCATCATCTTGAGCTATTTTACTCAATCTGTACATGGCTAAACAGCTGTTCAGTGGTCATCTGTACTAGCAAATCTCATTCTGAACCTTTATATTTCATTTTCTTCCTAAAATACATATTTAAGATTTTTTGTTGCAGTTAATCACAGAGAAAGTGAAGTATCAGTAAAAAACTCAGCAATGTTTGTTTTATCATCTTTGCTGGAAGAGTTTAATGTATGTCACTCTTCAAGAAAAACATATCCATGTAGACAGAGGGGGCATCTCTAAAGATAAGTCAAATCATGGAATGTTTACAAAATAATTCATGATGTCACAGACCTATATGCCCTTGCAGGTTTGGCAAAAGAGTAACTGCTCCTCCTAGGAACAAAATTTCAGAAGGATTAATTTCAGAAATCTTCCAGTAAATTATGATCCTGTCCTTCAGAAGTAATTGGAGCCCTGCTAGTCCCATCGTGACTGAACTGAAAAGCCAGGGAGTCGTGACCTTGCAGTGCCGTGTGCTCACTATGTTCTGTCCCCATCCAGTTCTGCCATGTGTCATTTCTTCCTTCCAGCATTAAGTTGTTCAACAGAAGTTATGAGGAAATTAAGGGTTTGCTGGGTATTCTGAGTATCGATTTGAGTAGAAGTACCTTTCTGTATGAAACTACATGCTGAGCACTCATGTCGTACACAGGTTGCCTTGTCAGTGATTAATACCGTCAAAATCACCAAGAAAAGTGTCAGCGCTGTACTCTGTGACAGTCATGTCAAACCCTTAGTCAGACATCAATTCACATGTTTCAGGCTTCATCTTCTTACAAATAATACACCGGTTTCATTTGCTTAGGAAGGGTAGAAAGAGCTGTATTTGTGCAAGACGTTGTAATCAATTTAAAGCAGCAGCTAAGTTACAGACACAATAAAAGGAACTATCTAGAAAAGCCAAAAAGCAAAACCAAATAGCCAGAACAGCTCCGAGACTGACG